CCAGTTTTGCTTATACCTTTATCGATAGTGTAGGTCCGAACGTATAGTTTCGTATTCTCACGCATATACGTGTCTATCTCTGTCCACCCTGACTGTACTATACGACAAATATCAAAACTACCGTGAACCCTTCTATATAATTTATTAATCTACTTTAATTTGTAAAATGACCATGATGTTGGTGGGGAAATTCAAATGACTGCCATTTCGAATATTGTGCTTTTTGTACTGCAAGAGGGTTAACACAATTGGGTAGCTCAACATAATAGCACCAGGACGGTTCGTTATTTTTGAAGTGACTTTGTATAGCGGCAGGTGCATATACAGATGGATAATACTAATTCCAAGATCGCACTTAATACCAATCAGATTGAGTGCTAGATGACGTCATCACATTCTTACCCTTCTTTTAGCTGGTCTTTGGCATTGCGGAGCTCTTAGCTTTCTTTGTTTCTGGTCTAGACGTCGGCTTGTCTGTTCCCTACAGTGGGGTTTTATAATAAGATGCCTTAATCTTCTACTGACGAGCAGTAAAGCATGATTTTTTCAACCAGCCATTGGACCCTGGCTTAGGCACTTTCACTGTATGAGGGATACCTCCATTCCACCGTGCATAATTTTGATTATTGATGAACAGACAGCCGACGCATCCGCGTTAGCGAAACAAACATCTGTCCAGGAAAAGGAGGAGGAAAAGTCAAATGCCAAATTTTGCGGTCTGGACGAGTGTTCGCTGCCTGAGCGGGTTGTGACCGAAACCTTGCCTCCACAACACGATTGTCGGAGTTACCCAAGGGAGACAGGACAGCAGGATGGGTGGTCAAAAAGAGATCCAGTAGACTACTGACATGTGGTAAAACACTGGGGAAGAAAGAAGGTCTCGTCGCCAGCTAGGTCAGTCATTGGGTAATAGCGAACGCTTCTACAGCACGACCTAGTGCATTGATCTTGATTGAGCCCAACCAGAGCTCATTATGGGCATAGAAATCGTCGATGAGAACTATCTCTGAAGTGGGGTGATTGATGTTTAGGAAGTCGATCTTGATAGGTATTCAAGTAGGTCATCCCAGTTATGGTCCGAGGGAGAGCGATTAAAGCAGTAAATGAGTTTGAGGGATGTTTTGAAACTGATGCGAAGCCACATAATGTTCTTTCGGCTTCATTAAAAAAAAAACGTCTTCTGAAAGTACTGCTGCGTAAAGCCACAACTACCCCGTTCTTCCTCAGAGTGTAGTGCACTTCATAATTTGCGAAGCCAAAATGATTAATCGGTGCAAAATCTGAGATTTTCGTCTCCGCCAAAAAAAGCAGGGCGCGGCGACTAGACTGCAGGTGGTGGTGAACAGCATCAAAGTTGCTGTTAATCCCGCATCATCATTCTTTGTTGGGGAAGATAACCGATTGCGTAGCTTAGGTGTGGACATTTTTTATAACCTTGGAGAAAGCTAGCGGGTGGTACCGCCTCGGTTGACTGGTCCTTGTCTACCTCATTCTTTTTGCGTATTAATGATGTTAAACAGACCTGAAGGGTCTCGCTAGCGCAGTTTTGTCAATTTCGGTTGTTGGGCAAATACCTCATCTCATTCCGTGCTTAGATACCGGATGTTAAACAGATCTAAAGTGGTCCGTTGGCGGACTTATACCGGCAATCGGTACAGAGGTATTCCTTAATGCGTGTACAATCACTTGAATGAGAATCAGTTGTATACTGAGTACAACAACTTCCGGAACAAGCATTTGCCACGCCTCCGCTCAATTGGAGTATTTTTGATAGTTATCATAATACGGTAAGATACTTACCAACTAAGTCCCGCTCCAGGCGCAGTTTTGCCCTTTTCGGTTCTTCAGCGAATACCTCATGGTGCTTAGGTAAAGCGCAACAAAATAAATAGTATAACTATGACACACCAAACGTAAATAAATTATTATAATTATATATATATATATATATATATATATATATATATATATATAATAATCAAAATATGATTTCAGATCATAATTGTTAATCTTCTAATGTTCTCGAAGTGTAGCAAAACGTACCTTGGTAATTCGAACTAGACTGTACCTAGAAGTGATGGTACCGTGAAAAATTCCTTAACGGAACATCCCGATCTGCGGCGTCGAAAGCCGGCCCTTTTTGAAGGCAGAACTGCGTGTGGTCGACCCTCATGCCTTTGTCGGTCCATCCTAGCTGCTAATGGCGGCATTACCATACAGACTGTCCCTTTAATGCTCATTAAGATGGGCCCTTTCAGCCTTTGGGGGCGTGTAATCGCGGTACGGGCCAGATATTTTCGTTGGTGTGTAGATAATCGGGTAGCGACTGCTATGATATTAGGCTAAAGGTGATTCGTCTTGGAGTGCGACCTACCTTTGTAAAGATCCACGCTTTAAATTAAGTAATGCAAGGTGATGGATAATTTGTAACTTGCAAGCTTTTCTATCCGGACCATCTGTGTCGTACCTACAATCCTATATACAGAGTGTCCCATCCCAGGACATCTGCAAAACCATACTCATGTGATGTATATATCTTGATGAGATTTTCATTGATATCGTCTAAACTGCTGGCCGAAATAACTGCAGAATCAGAGGACCCTTCCACATCTATAACTTATTTTAACAAGTAGCCTGGAAGTCAGTAGCTCTGTTTTACCAACAGTATACTTTGAGCCTTTATTGGTGGTGATGATCCCATTCCCAATCCTTTTTATGGAGATCTCTCAAATCTGCACGATTGACGTGTTAATGAGTACCAGTTACTATACTACAACTATTTAAAACTGTAATGACTCATACGCGTGATCAACACGTGATCAGAGCTCGATCCCGGCTTCTTACCAGTACAGCCGTATAGCGTACGACATATGTCGTTTCTGTGGATTTGCGGTGGTCAACAGCACAGACAGAGATGGAAATAGTGGCTGATTGTTCTCCGCCGGTAGAACCAATGAAATCAAAGACGCGCCTCGACCGGCAGACTCATAGGCGTCGGCAACGCATTGGAACGTGTTTCGTTGAGCGATCGCATATTATGTGTTTTTATAAGAATTGTTGTGTGATTGTTATTGTTGTGGTTTCTGTGGTTACTGTTTTGGTTATACTTACCCATCGAGAGTACAAATGGCACGAGTGGAAGTACTGAAAGCCAGGGAACAAGTAGACGGCTTCGTAAAGCACTGAAGAGGGACGCGAAAGAAATCGTGCTCAACGTGTTCAATTATCTGAACAGAACTAAGTCGCAGGGAGATGCACTCGCGCGTTGTGAAAGTATGACAGGCGTTCCAGAGTGGACCATTCGCAGGTTGGTGCATGAAAAGAAGAAAACTGGAGCTACTACTGATCCATAGTTTAATTTGAAGGGACGAAAGGCGAAAGGCGAACTGTACATTCATTCTTCTTTAGGAATGAGATACCAACCCTCAAGGCTGTACATGCAGCGATCAAGGAAAATGAAATTATACCCCAAATGAGCGTCGAGGTAATGAGGAAATCCCTGCACGAAATTAATTTTCGTTACGAAACGCGTAATCGGAAGTCAGTATTGATAGAGAGACCTGAAATAGTCGCCTGGCGTCGAAAATACCTACGCGAAATGATTGAATATAGGCGACAAAGCAGAAAAATCTATTATTTGGACGAGACATGGGTAAATGCAGCTCACACAGTTAAAAAACCTGGATAGACAAAAACGTAGTGAGTAACCGTCAAGCAAGCATTGAAGGTTTGTCAACAGGTCTTCGTGGACCGTCAGGGATAGGTCAAAGATTGATCGTAACTCATATTGGTAGCGATAGTAGCTTTTTGGAAGAGTGTGACTTGATTTTCGGCTCTAAGAAAGGAGGTGATTACCATGACGAAATGAATGCCAGCTGCTTCGAGAGCTGGTTTCAAGGGGTGCTTCAGCGAGTTGAGCCCAACTCTGTGATCGTCATGGATAATGCTTCCTATCATAGTCGTCGAGCCGAACGTGTACCGACTATGGGATCTCGAAAAAGTGACATGCAGCAATGGTTGCGCGAAAAAGGAATCCCGTTTGACGACTCATGTTTGAAAGCGGAATTGTATGAAAAAATTAAACAGCACAAACCTGCGAACATTAGTTACGTGACTGATGAGATGGCCCGTCAATGTGGTGTCACTGTGCTGCGGTTACCTCCCTACCACTGTGAACTGAACCCAATAGAGCTCAAGTGAAGGGTTATATTGCGCGCCATAACACAACCTTCAAATTACCAGACGTTAAGGTTTTACTTGAGACTTCCATACAGCTAGTAACGCCCGAAGCTTGGCAGAATGCTATCCGTCATGTTGTGAAGGAAGAAACAAAAATGTGGCAGCTTGATCACCACATCGACACCATCATAGAGCCAGTTATAGTCAATTTCAACGAGGAAAGCGATAGCGACAGTTTATTACTGTCAGATGTAAGTGGAAGCGACGATGAATAAAGGTAATTCCCAAATGTTTGACTTACAATATGTTTCAAACCACTCTTTATTAAGCATGTGACAAATCTAGTTCACCCATGTTAAACATTCATACCCCGCCTATTAACAGCCGACTACTGGTAGTTAAGTGATATTCACGTGAACATCGATGAGTCGTTACAGTTTTAGATAGTTATAGTATATGTGTTCCTTAGCAACAGTGGAGGATGATATGTCCTGCAGAAGTCACATTGAAATGAAGTTGAATTAAATTTGACCTGCAAATGTTAGAAAGCTGACAAATGTCAGAAAAACTATATGTTAATAAATAATAATACTTTTGTAATTTAGTTTTTTCGGGCTGTTGAGCCGTGGTCGTGTTGGATTTGGTCCGAGCACTTCGCTCTCACCGACATCGCCACTGAGGATGGCTACCGCAGATGTAGCCGAAAGCTCTGGACCAAATCCAACACGACCACGGCTCAACAGCCCGAAAAACCTAAATAGGCTATTTGACTAATTTTGCAAAATCATTTTAAATTATTCTTTTATATATAATGAGCACACTACATGAATATTTCCTGAAAATCCATACTATTTTTAATAGAAATCAAATTTAAAGTTTGAATTTTTAGAACCGCGCCAAAAACGCTATTCCTGTGATGGCGCCGGCAGATGAGGTCTGTGACGTCACACGCCAGTAAACACGATCACGAGCTGTCAGCCGAAGTTAATATCATTATTGTGCTTGATTTTGCTATAAAATCATAGATAAAATGGTCTATAAATGGTGTGTAGTGCCAAAATGTACGAATACGTGTATAAATAGTCCACAAACATTGTTTGTTTCTGTTCCAACCGATTGTAAAAGACGAAAAAAGTGGTTAATATTAGCTCGGAGAGACCCAAAGGGCATTTCATCGACTTCAAATGTATTTATGTGTGAAGATCACTTCGATGTAAGTATAAATTGAATATGTTATCTACTAGGTAGCTTAAATTACCGCTTTTTTTAAGATTGAAATAATATATAACTATCTATAACCTCAAATGTATCTTTGGTTATGTTGAGGATAAGTCAGTGTTGAGGATCAAAGATCCTGTTTATTAACCCTAAACTTATTACTCTGTAGGGTTTCAAAATGTTTTCTGTTGTTTTGATTATATTAGCTACCTAGATATCTCAATAACTTTCTATGCTGGGTCATTTTACCTACTTTGCTTATTAGATAGTGATAGTTATGTTGAATTGCAGATGGAAAAAGACACCATTAACTACAAAATGGGTTTCAGCAAGAAGATACTTTTGACAGAAGAGGCTGTGCCAACAAAATTTCATTGTCAAGAAGATCGTAAAAGACCACTGTCTGATGCTCGAGGAGCATATGTCAAGAGGAAAAGAATGGATTTGGTCAACACATGTTTGCAAAGTCAAAATGCTACTGAAGCCCAAGCTGAAAGCTTACAAAAAGATGAGAGTTTGATACAAGACATTATTGAACCTCAAGGTATGTAATCTATTACATGTGTCCTATCATAAATGATTTTTTAAATAATTGTTCTTAGCTTTTGCTTTGGTAGGGCATTTTATTTCAACAATGGCACCTTTCAGTAAACCATCAGGAGATGCTGCAAGCATGGGATTGTCTTGGCATACATAAAGTCCACATGTTCTGATTTTTTTGTTCAATGGTGTACTAACTGTCTTCCGGACTTCATGTGCCTTTGAAGCTGTGATACGGCCATACCTCATCTCATACCACAAGCTGCTCTTGTACTGCATTCTTGTTGCTTCTTCAATTGCACTGATAGCAGCTCTGTTGAATGTTGTCTTCATTATGTCTACAAGATTGTCTACGTCTGCTTGAATTTTTGGTGGTTGGTCCATTATGAAACAGTGCAGCGAATACCGCATAACATTTGAGTGTTTAAAATCGTCCTGATATTTTATCAATTCACAGTGTTGAAGTTTTCTTTTTTTGGCTTCCAAAATAAAGTTTGTGTGAAGTGCTGATGTACTTGGTCTGTGCGGTACTTCCTTTTTCGATATCTGCTGCATCGAGATGTATTTCAGAGTAGTCCCTACTCTTGACAATGGTGGCTTTTTCCAATAACATTCCACCCAAGTAGATGGAGGTTCCTCACTGCGCCGATGTACCCACATCAAAAAAGCGACTGCATGCTTGCAGCCTCCTGCTGAAGCAGCACAGTCATGGCACTGACAACTTATTATCTCGCTTTCATTTTCGTTGATAACCATTGTCACATTATAAGCTTCTGATCTCACTTTGTGCTCTGGGCACATTTTGCACTTAAGTGTGCAAAGTCCATGCTCCCGGTGCAGCTGCACATAGCCAATTGCATCGACTCCGTAGGACTCCCTTCCAGACCTGTAAAACAAAAGCAAAGCATGAAAGTATGTTTTATTCATGAAACCATATATGAACCATATTATCATATTGAACTGAAAGCTCTTTTCATTACATCAACATAACCTAAAATAAGATTGATTTTACAAATCTTTTAATGATCATACATAAAGGTTAGTAGGTATAAATAAATAATTTCTATTACTACTTACATTGTTGTTTTCACATGTTTGAGTTCCGCAGCATAGTAGTCCGCATTATTTTTGAAGAAAAATGCTACCATTAATGCGTCAACCTTAGGTAGATTGCTGTTATCAGCTTGCACAAAATCTAGGTCCATTTTGAAGTCCACAACGAATAATGATGCCAATAGTTGAAAGATTGATCAAGAAAGTAATAAAAATCTGTTTACGAAATAGAATTATGATAGAATATCTCACAGAAAGCCAGCAAAAACGTACAACGCGATGTTTGTTTACTTGCATGTGACGTCACCAGAGTCGCAGCCAATCGCAGGGCGTTTCTGTGACCCATCGAATTTTTAAAAATAGCTGATTTTTATTTGATTATTTCCCAAAAAATATACATATTTAGGTGTACATTAAAGTACTATGTGTTTTCTTATTCTATTATCTAATAGGATCACCACAATTCGCAACTTATTTTCAATACTGTCAAATAGCCTATTATATTAGAATTAGTCGTGAAAGCCCTCATTCTTCAATAATACTTTTATTAAAATACAAACAACAAGAGAGATTCGAGCAAGGACTTTGATCTTAAGCTATTTTCCAATGAGATCACAGACTTGTGGATCAAAACTAGAGGTAGTACAGTGTATAAGAAACTCATGAACCTTTTGAAAGGAAATATTTATATATCATACATATGGGTTTTCATTATGGCTTGTTTTATCTAAAAAAATACTAAGGTTGACAGGCTGGGCTACGGAATTTCATGAGCTTGGAGTGAGGTCAACTCTCCTTTCTCTTTTGCTAAAATATTAAACGCGTCGAAAAGACTTTTTGTAGTTCTTTCCATATGCTTTCCCCCACCCATTTTGTACCTCAGAGTGTAATTTATCTCGGGTCTCCACAAAGCCTTTGCTTTCTTTATAGGCATGATGTAAATGGTCTAGATGGAATGAGTTCCTGCAGATTTGAAGGTATTTCATGCCGGTCCAGCAAGGACCTTGTTTCGCCCTTCAATGACTGGAAGTTGCCTCTCTTTACGGGATTCATTGGTGCATAGAATTTTTAAAACTGGTAAACCCGTCTATTTGCTCTGTAAGTTGATTCCTCGTGGAAACCAAATTACTCTAAATCTGCGGCACAATGATCTACTTTCCATTCCTATACATCGTACGTCGGTCTTTGAAAGGTCCTTTACTTATAATGCGGTCAAGGTATACAATTCTTTGCCAGCTATCTCTAAGAGCTTAAGTTTGCAGCGCTTCAAGAAGACAGTCAAGTTGCACTTTCTGGACTCAGCACATTGAGTGATAAATTCATTTTGCTGAACGATATCTTGTTCTTTTGTTTCTTTTTTTTGTATATGTTCATATTATATATTTTTAATGCATTCGTTACAGCTACTGATTCATGTTGTTATGCTAATGTTTTGTAATGTCTGGTTGTAGTATGGTTAAGTGGTAGAGTAGCCATGGCTAAACTTCGCCATACTATGATCATCTTTTGAATAAAGTCATTATTATTATTATTATTATTATTATTATTATTTTCAGTAGTTAAGCGTTTTACCTTAGCGCCATATTAGAGAATCTTGGTAATCACAAACACCGCTTACGAAAACGTTAATATGGCCTCACTTCTTAGATATTTCTTGATGGAAATCACTTCACTGACATGTCTGCTGCTTTTGTATCCAACTTGAGTGCTTTCAGTTATATAAATAATAAATGTTTGACAACACTTCATGTTAAAATCTAGAAATAAATTTTTGATTTTATCATTTTTTTACATTTATAGCAATATTATGTCCAACATGAAACTACTGGTAGATATATTCAGGAAATGCCTCCTATGACCATATTAATTTTATTATTATATATTATATAATTTATATTTGTTTGCCCACTTGGTCTACTTCGTAGTTTGAACGAAACTCACGGTCTTTAGCCGGTTACAGTAAAACTTTAGGAATTACCTCTATACATCCGCCTCCATCAAACATACATGTGCAGTCGGCCTCTATGCGCGGATGTTTGTATATGAAAACTTAGAGACTTTAATTTTGTCTCACCTCATTGACAACTTTCTCGTCACTGTATGAGTTTGCCAGTCTTGTCACTGTCAGTATGACAACTTGCTTGTCATGGATGTGCGATTTGTCTTTGTCCCTTTGATACAAAACATAGTGCTTGATGTTACAACCTCACTGTCGACAACCTGTGTTAGAAGTAATTTCAGAAAGTGAGTGTAAACAAAAGTCCTATATCACCCAATTCATGTGTGTGTGCAAGAGCGGGTAGCAGCTGCGTGACGGATCGGCTTGCTATGCACCCATGACCATCAGTCAATCCGACTTCAATCCATCACGATTATGAGATTTGAATTACACGTTTACGTAATACCCAAACAAAATCTCTTCTCATTTAACTACTTCGAAAGCAAATAGAAAATCACACTATCACCCGAATCATGTACCTATCATTTTTAACGATGCAAAAACACATTTTCACAAAACACAACGTCAGAGCTGACAAAATATTGTACATCCATTCACCTGCATCACCAGAGGTATTTTTCAGGAATCAGATGAGCTAGAGAGGGGAAAAGGTAGTAGTGTTTGAATTCAGAAATAATTCTGTCGATTATTCACAAGAGGTGTTGACTTTCCATAAGGTACCCAAGTATCCTAAATAAACAAAAATCATAGCAGATATTCGAAATAAGGATATTTGGTAGCCGTTGTAAGTTATGAAAGTAATAAATTTTCGGTTGTCAAACGGTGTAAGCTCCCTCGCGTATTCTATATTCCCGTTGCCTTGAACATTTGACAACGTGACTTGAGACATGCGACAGCTTCACTGGAGATGCGACGTGATGCTGCCTGAACTCAGATTGTTTAACCTGTTAAGTGGCCCAGGATAAACAACCATAGGCTTTTCTAGATGGCCCGTAATTTTATCGCATGCGGACATATCCGTCATCAGCACTGACTATATTCACTAGCGTATATATACGTCAATAGCATTAAAATTCGACAATAAAACTGAAAGGCGTATATTATCGTCAAAACAACATAAAAATATTGAACTGGTATCTAAAGAAAGTAAAGGTGAAGGCTAACTTATAACATTGCATTGAAGGTGCACCAGTTTTCTCATTCCATTCTTCATACCTAGTAAGAAGAGTTGCTGTTAAAATGATAGATAAAGAATAAATTAAAACTTACTTATTTTTTTAGCTTTTTTGTTACTTGGTATGGAAAATCTCAAAACACGGTGCGGGACACAGACCCGTATGGCATTTTTGGCACCAGTAACGGCTTTCCTTTCTGATTTTCTTTTCAGCACATATTGCACACCTAAAAAACTGATTTAAAAAAAATGCCTTCTGTGATACAAACTTTTTGTTGGTTTTTGTTTCGTAGTAGGTGGTTTAACCGACGGAAAGTGACGTTCAATAAATCTTGATGGCATTGGTGTCCTTGATCTCCTTGTTCCGAAAGTTATTTGTGAGCTATATTTTCTAACTATTTGTTCTCCCAATTCTAACAAGAAATTTATCCTTTTCAGTCGACCTCCATTTCGTTTGTATATATGAAATGAGTTTAGCGTTGTTACACTCAAAAAGTGCCAGAACATTTTCATGTAGTATTTTTTTACTCTACTCCTTGCCGTTCCATAGTAGTGCAAATAATTATCGGCTAAGTCCACCCCGCCCATTTTTTTATTGTACTCTAGTACACAAGTGGGTTTCTCAATTTCACCCTTTTTAGTTAAGACCTTTTCCATAGTTTTATCGTGAAGGGTAGTTATCAACACATTCTTCTTGTCATGCCATTTTTGTATCATAATTTTTCTATTGTATCTAGCAACAGACCGTCCTTTAGATAATTTCACTTGTAAATCTTTAGGGATACCTTTTCTGTTTGCTCGAATTGTTCCCACACAGTCTGTTCTTCGTTTTACTAATTTGTTAACCAAGTCAACACTTGTGTAGTAATTGTCTAGAAAAAGTCGATACCCTTTGTCAAGTAGCGAATCAACAAGGGATAAAACTATCCTTGATGTAACTGGTTCCTGAGAATGCTGTGCTTCATAAATCGTATCAGCACCTGTATAGATGATAAAATTATACATATAACCAGAAGTTTCACATAAAGCGAATAGTTTGATGCCAAACCTCTTTCGTTTAGAAGGTATGTATTGTTTCCAGCCCAATCTCCCTTTCCAGCCAATCAGAGACTCGTCTATCGCGATGTCCCTTTCTGGCACATAACTGGTCATAAATTGCTCTCTTAAATGGTTTAGAAGTGGAAGTACTTTGGCAAGTTTGCGATTTTTTGTGTCGGCATTTATTGTTGAATTATCAACAAAATGCAAAAATTTCAATAACAAGTGAAATCTTTTCTTTCTTTTTCGAAAAAAATGGAGTTTCTATGCTCTCTCTCCGAGAGAAATACATTTTGTATTCAGGCTTAGGACCTAGTCCCTGTAATATCAATAGGCCTATAAGCGTCCTAATTTCGTTGGTATTCGTTTCTTTCCATTGGCGTACTCTAGAGTGCGGTCTTATGTTTTCTCCATTTTTTATAATATATTGGATAGCAAATCGATTGGTTTCTTCAACTATAAGGTTTATTAGACTTTCATCAAAAAAAATTTCAAAAATGTCCAAAGGGTTGCTTTTAGCAGGTACCTGCACGCCACTGTTCTATGTAAAAGGAAATGCTGGTCTGGGGATTCCATTTTGGGTCCAGGGCATTTCAAAGTCAGGTTCGGGCTCAGGCTCCGTCTCATCATTCGTATCTTCTCCACTGTCCTCATAGTCCGATTCGCCCTCTGTCTCGTCCGAACTTGTATAACCATCCACCTTGTCCGCCTCGTCGCCACTAATATCAATATCCTCAGAGTCATTGTCTTCTAAATTAGACATTTTGTATATATATTCAAGAACACTTCCTTTTCCTGCACAAACGTAGTGGAATACTAAACGTAATAATGTCGTAATCAGCCACATGGTAACACGCCCAAATAACGACTGAGCGGGAAGAGATTCCACAAAATAATTCCGCCGCATAGTTGGATTAGGATTTTGTTTACCAGTAAACTACAGCAGGCGAACGTATACGTCTTAACCATTACGGGCTACCAAAAAATAGCCGAAGCGAGAATATCCGTCATAAGCATTGATTGTAATATATAGGTTTGCGGATATATACGTCTTAACCACTTAACAGGTTAATAAGGTTAATGAATCAACCGGTCATAAAATATTTCATTAACTGCTGGTGCAGGAAATATGGGGTACACACAATGGCGTATGAAGGGTGAGAGCGTGTGGTTTCTGAACCTTGACGTTCGATTTAAGGTCCATCTGCTCCACCGTCAATATTGACCTCCAACTTGGCTGTATGAATGTTGCAATTACGAAAATTATTATAAATACTGCAATTTTCACCGTGGCTTGTGGATCTGATGTATATAAAATGAATAACAGTGGTCCAAGCACAGATCCTTGCGATACTCCACAGGCAAATGAGGTACTCAGGAGACAAATACATATCAATGCTTACCATCTGAAATCGATTATCTAGAAAGATCTGAATATCACATGTACACCAAAACATTCATTTCCGTTGGCCTTTCGCTGTCGGTCTGTCCAACCGCTAATCATTGGCCCGTCTATAACTTTTTTTGCTTATACAAATTTCATGAGCCCGTTTGGCTGACTTGACCTATTTTTTTTATTATACATGGTTGTAGTTAGCTCAGACAGACTAATTTGTGTCGAACGTAATACTTTTTGAACTGATGACAGCGTTGCGTGGGATGTGTAGAATTGAAGCAAAAACAAAAAATCGCAACTTTCAAGTTACGAAGCCTATTAGAATCCTTTTAAAAGTGGTATGTTCCGTTAATGAACCCGATTGGTGGATGGCAACAGATGTCGCCAGCTTCTGCGACCGTCGTTCGTTGATATTTGATGAAGAAATAAAATCTCTTGACGCGGGAAATTTATAGTTTGAATTAAGGAGGAAGTAAACACGACGCGAAATCATAAATTAAGCGACATAATGAACTGCAAGCTGCTACCGGCAGTCTATTTTAATGAAGGGTCTAGGTGTTTCGCGTATTATTTGCTATCGGTCGCAGGCTGGGCGGAAATTATTTTCCTCTACTAAATGGAGTATTGAAACTCTTAAAATGTTGCAGGATGTTGTACGAGAAATGCTCAATTCTCCGTGAAGGTCTACACCTGATTGGTTTTGAGCCTGGGAAAAGGTTACGTACGGTATTGTAGTCATATGAGTTATTCTTATTCTCAGCGAAAAAAGGTGGAATTCTAATTTATTATTTATCTCTGAAAGCAGTTATGCAACACAAAAAATATAAAACTATTATTTATTAAAATAAATTAAATTAAACATAATACAAAAATTCACGTACCGTGTCTTGAGAGACTTCTATCATTGTGTGGTAACTCATAGGCTACAGGTATTTCACTTATAAGTATGATTTTACGGATGCTAGTAGAGATTTTGTTATTTTAATTTGTGCGTTGTTCGCCTGATTACTACTCGTACATGCTATGGAAATTGAATTTTCTTCCTTGTCCAAAACTGATTCTTTAATTGCTTAAAAAATCAGTAAACTTTATTATTTGACTTTGGTAATACTAGCCTTTGCTTTAGATCCGGTAACACTACCTTATGCCAAACAGGATGGTGGGGTAATACGTAGCTTGAAAGGTGACATTATGTCGATTTTTTTTTACATTATATTGGTTTTTTTGTGGCATTATGTAGGTTTTTCTACAAGATGAAATTAGCACTAGCAGATGGATACGTTGCGAACTCGTTTTGTAGTTGTACGTGTTGCATAAACGTCATGAGGCTTCGCTTATCAATGTTTGGCTCTGATGTGATGTAAAATCTGCTTCAGAGACGGCACCACTGTGTATTGTCTCAAGTACACTTACTTGACATTCAAAGTTAGAAATTAGTTGCACATCCAATTACTTACATATGCTGAATTTCAAAAATGAGAGAGATAAGAAATAATTATATTCACTATACACTGTCGAACTAAAAGTCATATACATGCCAACAGTAATTACAAACAACGCGGGCGCAGTGCCGATTTCATGTAATTCTCGTCAAAGTTTTTGAAAACAAAAAAATGTAAAAAATCCTAATTTATAACTTTGAAAGGGCAACATATGAATAATAATAAACACAATCATCCAGATGAAATCTGCTTTTCAACCAATTTTCTTCTCCGAGATGAAAACTATAGACGCTTCCTTTCCGCAAAAAGTCCAGAAAAGATAAAATGCAATGAAGATTCCAACGTTTCTGCACAATCACAGAAAGGGGGTTACCATTAGCTTCCGGTAGCTCAGTCGGTGGCATGAAGACATCTGTAGCTGTGTGTCGACCATGGCATGGCTAGAGGATAGAAGAACAAACAGAACACAAAAATTTAACAGATTTTATTTAACAAAAAAAGCACTTTCATTACATTACAATTTTACAGTTTTAAAGAACAAAATAAGTTTTACATCTTTGGCGCTGCTATAAAACTATCAACTTATCTTTCGCTGGTCCATTTTGACTTTACTGAAGCGAGGATGGCCAGGTGCTTGAAGTGGAGGTCCCAGTTATGAGGGGTGACCTCACATATAGTGGCTTCAAAACCAGTTGTAGGCGAAGTTGAACTTAAAGGCGATGGCGCTGCCAAGGCACATGCATGGGTGAAGTGATAGGCCAAGCAATGCAAAGTCAAAGACAAAGGCAAAAGCAAAGTCAAAGACAAAGGCAAAGGGAAAGGGAAACAGAAAGGGGGTGGCCCCAATCATTTTGTCCTATTCGGACACACATTCTACAAAATTCTAGCACATGGTGCTATATGACCTCATGCTACAGAGAACAAAATTCTTAGCTCTTGCTAGATCGGCGGCTCAAGTGAAAAGGAAGCGCGAGGAAGATCGCAGATCAGGAACTCGGCATCAAGCGCGCTCCAAGCGGAAACTTTTCCAAGTAAATATGCTAGAGATGGGATTAATGAAATGATAATCGAGAAGTGATTTAATAAATACGATCGGACGGTGAAACCGTTACAGCTTCACAAAACATATGCAACCAACAATGCGTGCAGTATTTCTCCACAGATGGATGCTCACAATAATCCTAGTGAGCAATCGTGGAATAACTGTTTGGACCATAAAAACTAAATAGTCTGCAAGATGACATTTTATAGGTTTTTTTGACATTTTGTAGGTTTTTTACATAATACCCGTGTGGGTTTGATTCTTGGATCTGGTTACAGTATATCATGCAACTATTCTTGTATTTACTTTTTTTGATTTGTCATACATCGTGTAAGTCAAATAACAATATAAACCGAATAAATTTGAAGTTGGATGGGCCAAAGCTCAAAGGCGTGATGTTATTGGTCGCTGTTTATCTCAGAGATTTGATCATCCTTCGAACACATTGGTTCAATTGATAATCCTGTCTCATCGATATTGACCTAAACCTTTCAGTTCCGATTACATCTGGTAGGTTTCGGGGCGCATTTCTGTTATTATACCATTGATCTGGCATATCCCACGTTGGACCAGTAACGCAACTCCAATTTTGAGTTTTCGTACGTCTGTCTTCGCCATCTCCATCTTCTTTGTAAAGCTGGAAGCCAAAGCAGTACGCAGCACCCATTGTAGCTACGGAACTTGTCGAAGCGGATACATTTTGCACGTTTCGATCCCGCCATCCTTCGGTATCGTTCGGTTCTGATGGTTTTGATTTAACCACTTGCGTTTCTCCACCACTTAAGGACAGATTCTTGAACTGTACTTTCTCAATCTTATAGGTTTCAAATTTACCTATTATGTCTGAGAGAGATTGTATATACTTCAAGTTAAATATTGTGCCCTTAACGTATTCATGGAACGCTAGGTTAGTTATTCCATACCCAGCCAGCCTTTGCTGAATCTCCGGTCTACGAATGCCCATTGGATAAATTTTTCCAATTAGGTTTGTCGTGAATGAAGTTCCAGCGGGTAGCCCGACATGAAAATCTGGCTGAGGTTCCCTCTGGTCGGACGCTAAAGCCATCACCATGTCACCCGCTATTCCTAGAGATGGTTCAATTGGTAATCCTGTCTCATCGATATTGACCTAAACCTTTCAGTTCCGATTCCATCTGGTAGGTTTCGACGCGCATTTCTGTTATTATACCATTGATCTGGCATATCCCACGTTGGACCAGTAACGCAACTCCAATTTTGAGTTTTCGTACGTCTGTCTTCGCCATCTCCATCTTCTTTGTAAAGCTGGAAGCCAAAGCAGTACGCAGCACCCATTGTAGCTATGGAACTTGTCGAAGCGGATAGATTTTGTACGTTTCGATCCCGCCATCCTTCGGTATCGTTCGGTTCTGATGGTTTTGATTTAACCACTTGCGTTTCTCCACCACTTAAGGACAGATTCTTGAACTGTACTTTCTCAATCTTATATGTTTAAAATTTACCTATTATGTCTGAGAGAGATTGTATATACTTCAAGTTAAATATTGTGCCCTTAACGTATTCATGGAACGCTAGGTTAGTTATTCCATACCCAGCCAGCCTTTGCTGAATCTCCGGTCTACAAATGCCCATTGGATAAATTTTTCCAATTAGGTTTGTCGTGAATGAAGTTCCAGCGGGTAGCCCGACATGAAAATCTGGCTGAGGTTCCCTCTGGTCGGACGCTAAAGCCATCACCATATCACCCGCTATTCCTAGAGACGGTATCTCTTCGAACAGGTTGTGAGTGTCAGTGTTGATTTCGCTCGCGTGGTATCCTCCAAAGTTTTGGACCACAGTCATCGGTAATGGAGGGATCTCTAATCGAGTTTCTTTCCCCATTCCG